TTCACTTCTCTCTCTCTCTCTCTCTCTCTCTCTCTCTCTTCTGTTTTGCTACTATGTTTGTTGTTTGAAATTAGAGACCAAAAGTCTCTTTTCCATCCTTTAGTCATTGGAAGTCACAAAGTTTCCAAGAGAAGCCTTACGACTTTGCCATGATCACTGGCTTAGGCGTAGGAGGTCATCCGATTCCCCTTGATCCTGACATGGGAGAGTGGGAGGCTGCATGGGCTGCACTTCTCAGGGAACAGCCACAGACACTTCAGGCAGGTATGGTCCGATACAGCTGGTTTGAGGAGCAGTTCAGAAGAGTCGAGCCTGAGACTGTTGAGCAGACCGAGCAGTACGCCAGAGGCTTTCTCATGTTTCTCTTTGGTACCACATTGTTCTCAAACAGGTGGAATATTGTCGGTTTGTATTTTCTGAGCGCATTGGTGGTGCTGCAGCGAGTCCCGTTCTACGACTGGGACGGAGCTGGTCTCACCACTCTTTATGGCTACATGAGCTGGACCTCTCGGATGTGCGGGACTTTGATCGGCGACTACTGGCGAGCTTGGGAGGTACGCAGCTTAGTTCCCCCCTTTTCACCTTACATTTTCGCTTAGCATTTCCTGCTTTCATTTGTGCAACACATGTATTTTCTGCATTTTTCTATACCTTCCTCACACATTGTATGCTTTCTGCTTTGCATTTTCTGTACACTGTTCATACACTGTATTGATCACGTTTTCCTTGCAGCTATGGGTGTACGCATACTTTCCGACTCTTGCCCCAGAGCCCATAGTGGAGACCCCTGCGATAGTTTTGTTCTCTCGGGTATTTGACGGCCAGCTCCACCGTAGGACCCGGGAGAGCTTCATGTTCTTTCGACAGTATTTCGACACAGTCACTGCGCGTGAGGTAACTTAAAACATAGTCATGCTGCTTTTCAATTAGTTTGATACACACAGTAATCAATTGATAATGACTAATCATCTGTTTATTTTCTTATCTTCTGATCGTATGGCAACCATGGGATGTGATACCGTCAGGGGCCAGATTTGCATATGAGACCGCTAGGGTCATGGCTCGCTACCACATCCTCTTGGAGGGACCGATCTGTCGCGCTTGGTTCTTGAGCGAGCCCTTCGTGCGCCAGACCTTGAGCTTGCCTGCCCCGTATATACTGATGGCACCTCCCGCATCTATAAGAGAGACACACAGGCTTTCTGAGGATGAGGTGATCGAGTTCATGGTAGGACTAGATGCAGACCATTTCCTCATGGAAGGTGACTACGTGACCTTCATTCAGATGCATCTGATGCCGCCTTTGACCGGCGTTCGCGGAGGTGAGGGAGCGAGAGCTCCAGCTGCGAGAAGGAGAGGCAGAGCGATCATATCTCGTAGGAGGAGAGATCCTGAGGCGAGGCAGGAGACTGGATGGCCAGAGCTGCCGACTACAGTGAGTTACCGGACACGTTCTGGAGAGACTTGTCAAATCCCCATTGAGCCTGCACCAGCTGGTCGTGCACTTGTCGGGATTCGAGGCCCGACTCCAGTATGCACCGAACTTTACATTTTGCATATTTACTTCCTTTCAACTATGCTTTATAGAATACTGATCCTTTCAATGCACTTGCAGGCACCCATTGAGTACACAGGGCAGGCGCTTGAGGTCGTGGCTTCTTTGACAGACATGGTGCAGACGAGCTTAGATCTGCTCAGCCTCTACTGGATCTCGATAATTTTCAATTTGCATTTCAATGCCACACAGTCTTTCTGCTAACATATTAGCACTGCAGCTGCTCCATGCTTCACTAATCTGATACACTGCACAACACTGCATCGATACACTGTTTCCGCACACTACCCACGACATACATTCACTGCACATCCACTGTTTACAGCACATCATCTGCAATCATTTACTGCTCACGGCACCTCATCTCTTGCATCCCACGTGCACAGACTAATGCATTCTCATAAATTGCCCTTTTTAGATTCCTTTAGAGATGCTAGCCCCGTCACACACCCCAGTAGGAGCAGAGGCAGGACCTTCAGCGCCTCCTCCAGTAGCAGAGAGGAGAGGGAGACAGGCTCAGACACGCGGCTGACGTAGAGCTAGAGGCACCCGCAGCGAGAGTGGTCCTTCAGAGCCCGTTCTGGGTGATGATGATGAGACGAGCGAGGAGGCTGAGGCAGCGAGTCGACAGTCCGAGTCATCTGATGGGGGAGACAGCGACGCTGGCTCAAATTCTACAGATAGTGAGGCTGGAGAGGCTGAGGAGGGTTCCGATTCAGGCTCTGATCCAGCTTTAGACAGCGGTGCTGATGGTGGCGATGCTCCAGAGTCTGCGCAGCCGAAGAAGAGGACGAAGAGGGCCTCTGAATCCCTGAGCTCAGTGGCACCGATTTAGATGCTTTTTGCTTTGTTTTCTTTTTGCTAGTAGTTTTTGCACATTGTACAGCCTTAGGCAGTTTTAGTTTCTTTAAAACTTGTACTCTTTTGCAAAAAGAAACTATGATGGGAATGAAAACAACTTTTTGGTTCAAAAAGTGTTGCATTTTACATTCTAAGCATCGCATCGCATCACACAGCACAAAAATGAGATTGATCTTTGTTTGAAAACTACATATACAAAATGCATTGGTCTGAATCAGGTAGTGAACCAACTAACAACCGAAAGAACAAAGAACGACTCGATAAACAACACGAGGCCTCACAAGCCGAACAAAGTAAACATAACTCGATAAGCACATTGCAAGGATTTGATAAACAACAAGCGTACAACTCGATAAACAAGGTGCAACAACTCGATAATAACATACATACAACTTAAACGGACATGTCAAGCCTGAAAAGAATCAAAACAAGACCCCGAAGGGTACCGATAACAGAATTCAACTACTGAAAACAACTGAATCTTCACACAGGAGGTCAGTGAACACCAAAGAGGGGCTGCCGGCCATGGGGAATGGCTTGCCGGCCATTGATGACGCCCTGCCGGCCATCACTGTGCTGCTGCCGGCCATCGATGGCAGAACCTCCGAAACGTCGACATCTGTCCTCCACCCACTACCTTATCTTCTATAAAGGTTCCAGTTTCATGGTTTCTTCATTCTAACAAAATTTTTGCCCCAAATGGAAGCATTTCTTGCCCAAAACCTCACAAATTGGATTGCAAGCTTGGATGGCTCGGAAAAGTTAAATTTTCGGGGTTTCAGAATAAATGCACTATTCACGCTGAGCTGTATCCCGCTGCATTTTCCGTTCCTCCATGCCGCGGCTAGGTGTTGGAATCCGGTAACTCATGTTTTTAGCTTTGGAGGGCAAGAGATGTGCCCCACTTTTGAAGATTTCTAAGCTTTAATGGAGTCTCGACGTGATGAAGAGATCTTGCCCCAATTCCGTTTTGGCCACATTCAAGCCTTAGGATGGATGTGTGGGCTTACTTTGCATGACACTCGGTCTTTGATTCGCGAGGGGGAGCTAGATATTTCGAGCTTGATTTGTCGATTTTCTGACGCTAGTGACTGCGGCGACCACCTTTGGCAGAGTTTTCGGCGACACGCCCTCTGTCTGTGCTTGTTATCTCATTTCTTGCTTGCCCCAGGCTTTGGAGGATCTAGGGTCCGTTTGATTGAGGTCGCCCAAGGCTTAAAAGAGGGAAAGAATTGCATTGCCATGACACTAGTTGAGACACTGATGGGTTTGGATGCCTTCCATCGTCGGGAGACAACTAGATTCACGGGGAGTCCACTACTGTTACAGGTAATGTTTCCCACCCTATCTCACATATATTTCTCACATCACTCGGCCCTCAGGCTCTATTTTTCTCTCAAAACCCTTTTCTCTCTTTTCTCTCCACGTACACCTCTCTATTCTTTAATCTCTCATTTTTCATCCCTCCCCAGATATGGTTGATGGACAAGTTGAGAGTGGTGGACTCATGCCCAGCATATTCAACACGCGGCTATTTTTTTCGGCAACGACTAGTTGACGTCCCAGATGAGGGATGGTGGTGCGAATGGATGTGCAGCCTATTCGCCGTCAACATTGCTTGGTGCTGCCCCTGGCTTAATCTACCGGCAATGAGCTACAGTGTGTCTAGGCAACCGGACATTCAGCTGATCGGCCTGACACATTGCGTCTTTTACTTCCCGTTCCGAATCCGGCGCCAATTTGGAGATGATCAGACTTGCCCAGAAGATGGGGTAGAGTACCCTAGTGCATTTCCAGTCCGAGGCTCACATTAGGCTCAGTATGCCATAGCATGGAGGACGAGAGAGCTTTTGGCCCCCGCTCCCACTTTCAATTGCACCCTCTCTGATGAGTGTATAGCTTGGCTCGATGAAGAGGCGCAGGTTGGGCCTACTTTGGCATCAGAGGCTTCCACAAGCTCTGGGAGGGGACGCAGGAACACCTGACTATGCCCCGAGTTTATTTGCTTTAATCAGTACTTTTAAGTTTTCTTTATGAATGTAATAAAAAGCAACTTCAATTTGTATTCAAGAGTAGGAGAACTCTGTACTGAAATCAATGTAATTGAAGGTTGTGGATACTGAAAATTCTCCGTTTGGTCAAAAAATGGTCTAAGTCGTAAAAAGATTAATTTGAGCAAAATCAACTTTTATTAAAACTTTTCAAAAGCATTTTCAATATGGATCACAACTGGACACGCCCGAGATCTGTCACTGAGATGTACAACCCCGGATCCAACAACTGGAAAGTTGCCCCTAGTCTGAATAGCACTACACTGGAGATCACAACCGAGCTCTTGAATGCAGAAAAGACGAAGATGACCAACATGATCATATAGACAAAGTTGATTTGGAAGTGTTTGTGGCTGGACTTCAGAATGAAGTTGCCTACGTATCCCAAAGATGGGAATCAAGCCTTACGTAGTTCGGTTCAGGTTCACTCGTGTATTAACCCTCTCCTTTTGCGCTCTAACTTTTGCCAAGGCCACCTTTTCTGGGTTTTCAACCTTGCTAGCTCATTTTTTATTATTTCAAATTTTCTATGCTCTAACTTTTGCCTAGGTCGCCCTTTCGGGTTTTCGGCCTAGCGAGCCACTCAGGGATAGTATTTCTTCAACTTGTCCATGTTGATTGGTTGGGAGAACTCCAGGCCATCTAGGTTCATCAGAACGACAGCTCCACCCGACCAGATAGACTTGATGATGTAAGGGCCAGTCCAATTGGGTCTGAACTTGCCCCTAGGGTCGTGGATGAGAGCTCGGTTGTCTTTGATCACTAGATCCCCCTCTTTCAAATTCTTGGAATTAACCTTCTTGTTGAAAGCCCTGGCAATTCTTCGTTGATATCCCTGGACGTGATACAGTGTTTTCAGCCTTCTTTCATCAAACAGCATGAGTTCTTCGAATCTGCTTTGCTGCCAATCTGCCTTGGCTATCTGACACTTAGCCAATACCTAGGGCTGAGCAAGGAATCCGCGAAATCCATAATCCGATCCAGTCCAGTCCAATCCAATCCGATAGGTTTGGATTGATTTTTTGAATCCGCGGTTCGGTTCCAGATTGAAGAATTAAAAATCCGTAGTCCATGGATTGGTTTCGGATTGAACCCCACGGTTTCGGATTGGAACCGATCTGGACCGTATACAAATAGTCTATATTTTTATTATACATCCTCCCTCATAGTATCTTCTCTTATTCTATATAAAATCTAAACTCAAACCTAAAACCATATAATATCTTCTTTTATTACTTTTGTTTGTTAGTTTTAGTTTTAATTTGTAATGGTTTAAATACTTATGGTGAAACCAGTTTTCTTATGATTGTTTAAATTCTAGAATAGTATGTCACTATTATAGAAAAACATATTGCTATTGTGGAACTAATATAGCACTATGTTTATATTTTTATGAAATTAAAGTGTTATATATATATATATATATTTTTTGTTATTTAATTATGTGAATCCGTGGTCCTAAACCGATCCAATCCGTATTTAAATGGATTGGTTCGGATTGGTTCCATGATTTAAACGGATTGGATTGGTTCCAATTTTTCAGGAACCGTAGATAATGGATTGGTCCTGGTTTTACCCCAATCCGGACTATGCTCACCCCTACCAATACCCGTAATGACGGAACCTCAACTTCGATAGACAGAACAACCTCCATCCCATAAACCAAGGAATACGGAGTTGCTCCAGTAGAAGTTCAAATTGATGTCCGCTAGCCCAAAGAGCAAATGGCAGCTTATCTGGCTAGTCCCTGTAGGTCTCCACCATCTTCTGCAGAATATGTTTGATGTTCTTGTTGGTGGCCTCAACAGCTCCGTTGGTTTGCGGCTGATATGTAGATGACTTATGAAAAGCCACGTTGTACTTCTCCAACAAGTCTATCACCTCCTTTTTGAAGTGGGAACCATTATCTGAAATAATTCATTCGGGACCTCATAGTGACAGATGATGTTGTTCCTGATGAACTTAGCAACATGCGACGCCTTCAACACTGTGTAAGATTGGGCCTCAACCCACTTCGTGAAATAGTCTATCACTACCAGAATATACTCATGGCCGTTCGACCCTTTCAGAGTGACAGCCCCAATCACATCAATCCCCCAGACTAAAAACGGCCATGGCGAAGTCATGTTGTACAGCTTTGACGGCGGAATGTTCATGCGGTTTGCATGGATCTGACATTTGTGGCATCGCCGGACAAAGCCAATACAATCCTCTTCCATGGTTGACCAATAATAACCCTGTCTAAGGATCTTTCGGGCTAGCATCACCCTGCTCATGTGCGCTCCGCACTCTCCTCCATGAATGGCCTCCATCAAGCGCTTGGACTCTTCAGCATTAACACACAGCTTATGCATCTCGAGATGACCCCTCTTGTACAGTTTACCCCCACAGATGATGAACTGCTCAGCTATTCTTTGAATTGCCCTCTTATCTTTGGCATTTGCCTCTGGTGGATACGCCTCATTTTCCAAGAAGTTCCAGATGTCGTAATACCAGGGATTTTGATCTTGTACCTCATCTATGGCAGCAATCAGCTCGTAGGCCGGCATGAATTTCTGTTCAATGATGATCTGACGCATCCGGACTCCAAGATGGATGTCTATCATAGAAGATAGAGTTGCTAATGAATCAATGAACCTGTTGTTCTCTCTCAACAGATGAGCAAAGTTCAGTTTTTCAAACTGAGGAATCAGAACGTCCAAGGTCTGGTGATAGATTCTCATATTTTCTTCTTTAACTTTCCAATCTCCTTTAGCTTGAGATACAACAAGGTTTGAGTCCCCGATGACATCTGATCGTTTTGCCCCTAGTTCCAGGGCGGCTTCCAATCTAGCAGTACATGCCTCATACTCTGCTTCATTATTCGATACCTTGAACCGGAGCTTGAAGGCTAAAGGTATGCAGGAATTGTCGGGTGCTATTA